AGTTACTTTGCTGGATTTTGGGTTTTGCTTTTTTAGTCCACTTGGCAAAACTTTTGGACTCCTCTGTGATAAGGATCTTAATTTGATAAAACTATTATTACTTATTTTTTGGTAACTGTTTGAGTGTGACTGCATGGGACAGCATTCATAGCACCATAAAAATAAATATTGTTCTGAAAAACATTTCCAGGACAAACATGCTTCTTCAAGATCCCACTTACTGAAGAAAGTGTGATTTAAATTGCTCTACTTCACACATTTAATCAGATTTTGAAGAGCAAACAGTATGATTTAGAAATGTTATTTTTGTAATTTTCTCTGCTGTCAGTTTTCTTTTTTTTTAATTTACTATCAATAATTCAAATTTATTGTGGCAGGATAAGAAATTTTTCACGATACAACGATACATTCCCACCCTACACAGCAGTCACCAAAGCCTTACCTTTGAGGGAAAGGAAGTGCCGCCACTCTTTCTAGAATAAAAAAACTACAAATTTCCAAAGAATCAGTTCTTCTGAGGGTGTTGTGAACACTCTGATTATATAACACTGTGCTTTAACTGAGTCTTAAGCAGAATAAATCCAGGTCAGCGAGATCCAAACAACTCGGCCCAGTATGTGGCGACATCTAAGGGTCATGAGACCCGGCAGCAGTCTGAGAGATTTGCTGCCGGTCCGTATCTGCACTCTGTTTGCTGCCAGAGACAGTAAACATTTATGAGGTTCATATTTTCATCTGAAACTGGTCCCAGTTCAGGGAATCGGGGACGTCATCGGCTGAACTTCAGCATTTGGTAAACCTGGAGATCCGAGGTGAGGATCCTCCCACTGGGAAACGATCTGCTGTTTGTGTTTGTGTAGCTGGCGGAGCAGCAGATTGTGTATAATGAATTTATTGCTCTGACTTTGACCCGGTCACTCCAGCGGATTCATAGAAATTGAGATCGTGATCGGCGGCATGACAATGATTCTCCTGACACCTTCGGGAGGACAAACAGGAAGTCAGAGCGCAGCGTTCTGGAGTTCTGGTACAAGTGATGGTACCACTTGTACCACCACCAGCCAAATAAGGCATAACATTATGACCACTGACAGGTAAAGACCACCGATTAACTCTCCATCATGGTGCCTGCTAGTGGGTGGGATATTTATGCTTCCTTTAACAGCATCCTTACATAATAAGATTTTAGTCTGGTCAGTTCTGCTTATTTTGAGCTGTTTTAGGGGGTCTTGTCACTTCAAATCTAAAGCTGCTGTTGGCTACGCCCCCAACCCAGCATTTACACTCACATGTGAAAATGGCTGCCAACCCATGCACAATATACAGCCGTACATCATTGAAAAGCATTAGCAGAATGCAATTAATTAAAAGACAAGGGTTTTTTGTCTTGTATTTACAGACAAAAATAAAACTTGGCAAATATGTTTTACCCTAAACTTCACCAGTTTCAAATTCAATAAAGAAATACTATGTTGTTTGTTTTCTTATTTTAAAAAGGAATTAAATTATTGATTGTTTTGCATCTTTTGATGTAATTATAAAGTATGAAAAGGCTTAAGTGAATAAATAAAAATCTGTGGAATGTTCCAAGTTTTTTTTTAATCTGATTAATCAATTAAGTGTCAGAATAATAGATAGAATAATCCTTTAGCATGATAATTATTAGTACCAGCTCTATATCTAATTTAGTGCCATATAGCAGATATTTTTGGGGGTGAATATCAGAATTGGGCCGTTCAGACTGCCGTGAAAAATTTTAATATCAGTCGCATTTTGGTAAAAAAAACCAAAAAGAAATACCATAGCCATAATGTTTTGACTCATCAGTGTACATTTTGTTAAAAGGTATTTCTCTCAGAGGAGAACAGGTCGGGCTAAACCAATCCTGGGTTTCCTCTGTGTTTACAGATCTGTGAAATTTATGAGCGTTGTCTCCTTTCTTACCATCATGCTGCTGTTATTTTAATGAATCTTTGTGCTGCAGAGGAAGAAGCATTCCTCTCTGTTACTGCTCTTCAGTTAAAACAAAATGTCATGCTTGGTTTCTCTGCAGTGACTCAGGGATTAGAGCTGCGCTCCGTGTTGCAAAATAAATGCAGAATATTTCTCTGGAGCTGGCCTAAGAACCGAACCCGGTTTCTACAAACATTAACTGTGTTCTGGTGGATTTACAGCCTGATGTAAATCCAACCCGTTTGGAGTCAGTTGATGTAAATGCAGAAATATGCCTGTAAGTATTTTATGTGTTAGAGGAGATTTGCTCCAGAGCAGAGCAGGCCTCTCCTACGCCCACGCTGACATACGTCTGGCTGCTTCTCTCCTGCAGCACCTGCTGAAGAGACTTTTCTCTCCTCCCCCTCTCCTCTCCGTTCTTCTGTTTTTCCTCTGAAATTCAGAAGAAAATAGAAGGTCTGGTGAGTTTCAGCATCTTGTATAACATTAGGGCTGAAACGATTAATCGTGTTGGATTGATGATTGAAATAATCGTGGACGAGTTTAGTAATCGATTAATCGTTAACTGGAATCAATAAAGGCAATTTGCTGAAAGAACAACACACTCAGAGGAGTAAAACTGTGCAAAATATATATACATTTTCAAGGTTTCCCCAAAGAAAACTTGCTAAACCCGGTGGTTCATTCATCCAGCGGCCCGTCATGTTTTTAAGTTAAAAATTGGAAGACTCATACCTGAACGTATTAAAAAATGCAAGCATATAAATAAACAATGCTAAGCCTGGTGAGGGAACAAGTCCAGCCTGGTGGCCCACCAGGCTTATAATACACTGGGGAGAAACCATGCATTTTACATTTAACATAAAAAAAACCATTGGTTTTACCCAGATCTCCTCAAGAGGTATAGTTTTAGCTTCACCTCATTCAAACTCTGTAAAAATAATTCTCCTTTTAAACAGATTTAAAAGGAGATTCTGCAGATTTTTCATTTAAATCTTTATAATATTAGACATACATGAAAATATGCTGATAAACAATCAACTTCCTTTTATAAATAAGAAAATAAACATTTTATTGCTTAAAACGCAATAACACGGCATTGCTTTAGCTACTTTGAGTCTGGTGAAACTAAAACTATGAGGCCACTTGTGGAGTTTTGGGTAAAACGTTTAAACGTTTTATGGTCTTAAAAGTAAAATATATGTATATATTGTATAATTTTGGCTTAGTTATTGCTCTGAGTGTGTTGTTCTTTCGGTAAATAGCCTTTTTTAAGACTGTATCCTCCAGTAAATTAGTAAATTAGTTGACGATTATTTCAGTAACTGATTAATCACGACTAATCCGATTAATCGTTTCCGCCCCAGTAGAGATACTGAAGTACCACCAAGCAGACGGATCTGTTGAATGCGGAGGGGGGTTGTTGGGTGTGGAGAGAGTCAGCAGAGTCACAAACAGACAGCAGGAGTGGAGAAAGAGCGTGTGGTTATGTAAAGCAGGCGACCTCATGCTGACCAAGCAGCCGGCAGACAGAGACGCAGTGATGTAACCTCCACAGAGCCGCCGGCGAGCATCGAGCGATCCGCCAAGCGCAGACCGAGCCGCGGCCTCGCTCCGATTCAGGTTTACATATCCAGGGACGGAGATGTGTGAGCGGAAAGGCGGCTCCTGGTTTTTGCTTGTGGTAGAAAAGCAAATCAGCAACTGATCAGGGACGGAGTAATGAAAACATATTGGAGGTGAACAAACAAGAAATCTCAAGACTTCAAATAGAAGTTGAAAATTATAGTTTTCAGGACACAGAAACCTTCGGTTCACTCTACAAGCCAAAGCAGCTTTAACTACGGTTCGCTTGAAATCCCTGAAAATGTTTGAATTTCAGTTTGGTGTTTTCAAGATTTGGAAAGTGCTTGAATTTTGTTTGAAGTCCTTGAAAGTGCTGGATATTCAAAGTGGGCGTTTTTGTAATATAGTGTAATCTAACGCTGGATTATAAACCTAAATTTGGAAAACATTCTTTATAATTGACACAAGATAATAAAAAACTTTTTTCATTGTCTGAAGTTAAATCAGACCATTTTTTTCTTATTTTAGGTCAGATTTACCAAAATTATTCATATTTGTTAAATGACAGAAAACTTGGCAAAAACATTTTTTAGAGATTTTCTTGTAACTTACTTTATATGCATTACCTTAACATGATTTGTTTGGAATATTTCAGTGTAATAAATATGTATTATTCCTAATGGCTCAATGATTTACCGATAGACATTTGAAATTGTTGGTGTGTAGTAAGAGAGACGCTTCAAAACTTTAAATTTAGCTATATTTTACTTTACCTTTCCCTGCTGTGGAATGTAAAATACAGCAATAAATGATGTCAGAGTGAAGTGAAACTGTATTTTTTTAGTTAATTTGTTTAGTTTTTATCTCCAAAGTGTGAAAGGTTTGGAAAGCTACCTTGGGAATCCTTAAGAAGTGCTTGAGTTTTACTGTAGGAAAAGTGTTTGAACCTGACCGTAACTGCCGTGAGTCTTTGTTCGCTGCTTTTTTCTTATCTGGTTGTCTAGAGAACATCGAAGCACAGAGAGGAGCTGCAAACTCGTCATGGCCATAAAACAAGCTCCATTTAAATCATCTGTTTTATGGCGATTTAGGAAGAATTTCTGTGATGTGGTCTTATATCACGAACATTAGCCCCTGCCAGTGGACTTTAAAACATCAACCTGATTAAAACCCTGAAAATGAGCCCAGATGTTTTTGTTTCCATCTCCGTTTTCAGGACTACATTGACGCACACCCTGAGACCATCGTCCTGGACCCTCTCCCCGCCATCCGAACCCTGCTGGACCGCTGCAAGTCCTACCAGCTCGTCCACAGAATAGAAAAGTGTATGCAAGGTAAGACTGCTGATTGGCTGACCGCTTGTTTGTTGCTGCATAATCAGGCCGGAAGAGAGCGTTTTGTTGAATTGTTGGACAAGTAGATTTTTTTAAAAGAAATTAAGGAAGGAGGAGGAGGAACATGTTGGACTTAAGCAAGTTTTTGCTTAACAGAGGGATTGTAATTTTTCAGAGTTTCATCATCCATCAGCAACATCACAGTGCCTGTCTGGTTAAAGTCAGAATTATTCAAAAATAAATAAATTTAAAATAAAAATTCTGTAAAAAAAAATAAAATAAAATAAAAATAAACAAAAAATAAAAAAAAATCTGCATTTTAAGGTTAAAGTCAGGATTCTTCAAAAAGGTAAAAATCCTGAGAAAAATTTAAAATTGTGAGAAAAAGATGAGAAGTCTGAGAAGAAAGTCAGAATTCTTAAAAAAAGTCCAATCTCTGAGAAAAATGTAGAATTCTGAGAGAAAATTAGAATTCTGAGAACAAAGTGAGAATTATTTAAAAAAAGTGAGAATTCTGAGAAAAAAGTCAGAATTTCGAGAAAAAACTTAAATTCTCAGGACAAAATGAGAATTCTTTTTTTTTATTTTATTCTGAGTAAATGAAAATCTGAACTTTGAGTTTAAAGTCAGAATTCTTGGTGGGGAAAGAAGTTACTTTTTCTTAATTTTTTTTTTTTTTTTTTTTTAGAAAAATAGAATTCTGAAAAAAAAAACAATAATTCTGAGATAAAAATCTGAATTTTGTATTTTTCTTCTCTTTGTTTTTGTCTGTGCCCCAGTTCTGGATTGTCATGTTGAAACCAGATATTTACCACGAACAGCCATTTTCTTCTCGCTGCCTTAGATCAGACTAAATTTTTTCCTGTTTTTGGTCAGGTGTGGTTACCAAAATAATTTCTATTTATAAATAAATTACGGTGAGAGAGATATTTTTTTAGATTCTTATCACTTCAGATTTAAACGTTTCCTATCATTTGGCATAACCATTTAATTTGGGTCGAATGTTTTCGGTTTCCTTTCACAGTAGTTTGTGGATTGTTTTTGTCATGCTTTCCTAACAGAACTGGAAGAACTGGTGTTACTGGGTCAGATTTTTTGTTCCAGAGTGCATTACCAAATTTGGCTTTTCATGTTTAGTGAAATTATCGAATATTACATCTATTGATATCGATCACGTGTTAAGATATATTATTACTGATTTCAGAGACCACTGTGGACTTTTCAGTTGGTGTCCATCGTATTTTGTAAGCAGATCAGTGAAGGAAATTTTTTTCACAGTTTCTGTCATCTGTTAAACCAAAACATTTCTGTTACTGTGGATTCGTGCAAGGTTTGCTGTTAAACCCCGTTCCTTCTGGCTTTGGTTCTGCTTTTTAATTCCGAACCCATAACTCCTCTCCTTGTTTACAGGAGAAACTCTGAAGTTGTAAACTGGGCTCAGAGTCGCTCGTTTCCCGACCAACCCATAAAGTGTGTTTTAGCCTGCGGGTCGCTGACGACAGGGGCCACATTCCCCGGTGGGAAATCACATCCCGTCACCTCCCTATAAGGCAGGGAGCGTAAACCTTTAAATTATTTGTTGAGAGCGAGGGGCTGCAGGCTGGAGTCAGAGCATTGGATCGGCGGGTCGGACGTGCCTCAGCGTTCCTAAAATAGAAGCAGGAGAAGAAGAAGAGGAGCCGTTTCTTTGTTTTTTTCTGTCTAAACAGACGCGATGGCTTGTTGCATAACAGAGCCGAACTGCGTCGTTCTGTCTCACTGTGGCCGGCTGGTTTCAGTGGATCACAGCCATGTCAGAGGATTTTAGTCGTTATGTTCGTGATGAACTGGGCTTAAACTGGGTTCTGGAGTCCTTAAGCGGCTGCCGTGGCAACCTAGGCCTAAAAGGAGAAGCCCCTCATATCCAGAGGGAAGCGGTAGTGATACAAACAATTAGTCGACTTACGGTAAATTGTCGATTTAAAGGTTAATTACATTAAAATTGGGTCCAATCGGTTAACTAATGGCGTCTGTTATACATTATTTTAGTGTTGTAGTTGACCGCCATCCAGCAGACGGCGCTGCCGGTCATCATGAAGCATCGCCCACCGTTTATGCAGAAATAAAGATGGCGGCGGTACCATAACGCTAAAGAGAAACGGTCCAAGCGGAGTCTGGTGGTGTGAAAAATACACTCGATGCGGTTTTGTTTGGAAATATAAACACTCGAGAAGCTTCTTACTGTAAGTTTGAACTTAATAGCGTTTTATGTTTCCTCTCCGAGCCAGAGAAGGTGTCCGTTTATGTTTCCTCTTACAACTGTAACGTTCGTAGCTTAGAAATAACGTTTACAATTAAAAATATTGGCTACAGTCTCAAAACTACTCTAGTTTTTGCATACAATAAAACAAATGCACAGTTTTAACCACTGTCAAAATCGTACTACTATCAAGTTAAGTTTTATAAATTCAGTTACAACTTGTTTTCGCTAAGCTGCTGTTCGATAATGCATAAAGCGGAAGTTATCCTGTCAAAATAAAAGCGTCAAACAACCGGAAGTTGACCAGAGATTATACAAATGAAAGGAAGTAAAGGCAAAAAGGTGACGCAAACAAATAAGGAGCTTAATTTTTTACAAATATTCCTGAATCCCCATGATCTCCACCTGAAATGCACTGCAAAAACACAAAATCTTACCAAGTATTCTTGGTCTAGTTTCTACTACAAATATCTTAATACACTTGAAAAAAGACAAAGCTAACTTATAAGTAACTTTTGTGCAATAGATGAGGTTGTTCAAGTAAAAAAGTCCTTAAAATTGATGAAAAAGCATTGGTTCTTTTGGAAAGTTATTTCTTTCAGAACTTGGAAAATGTCTGTTTATAAGTCAAATAATCTGCCAGTGAAACTAATTCTATTTTTAATATTAAGGAAGTATTTACTTCCCAATGAAAAGTTACTTGTAAGCTAGTTTTGTCTTATTTCAAGTGTGCTAAGATGTTTGCACTAAAAACCAGAAATACTTGTTAAGATTTTGTTTTTAAGTGTAGACGGATGCATCAGCTGCTTTGTTTGTTCAAAGCAGCTGATGACGAGCAAACAGATGGGATCTCTGTTGTCCCTCATTGTTTGATAAATGAGTATTACTGTAATATTTGGGAAAATAGCAGAAATGTGTCGGATTTCCCTATTTTAATAAGAAGAGGAGTCCCGGTTCTTCGAAAGGAGGAAGTTTTCTGAGGGGATTTTTGTGAGCAAGCTTGAAAGCAAAATAAAAAGTAAATGAGACGATTGTTTCCTAACAGCCTGAAGGGCTGAGCGTGCCTCCAGGTGTTTGACAGACTTCTGGTGACTGAGTTGTTCGGCTCCGCTGGGTCTCCTCCAGGCGTTCGGTGTTTAGACAGAACCGCAGATTGATCCTCCGGCAGAGCGCAGCATTCCCGCTCCCGCTTTCTTTACCATCAATCGTTGGCTCTGGACCTGAAACGCTTTCTGTTTGACAAGGTTTCAGTCGTGTGACGGCTCTGTTTGACGTGTCTTTACACCAGCAGCCCCCGTGGTTCGCTGACGCAACGTGGACGCTGCAGCGCTGCAGCATCGGGTGTTTTGTCTGTGGAACATCAAGCGGTTATTCGTGACTATCCACAGTTTTCCAACTCATTTCACACAGAATCAGAACCAGGTTCAGAGTCGGCAAGCGTCATTCGTCTTCTCGGAACTTGTCATAAAATGGAGCTTTGCAAACTGTCTACAGTTTATTTCAACAACTTCTTGTCTTTTTGCAAATTTTGTTTGCAAACTGATTAAAAATATATTCTTTAAAAAGAAAAACATTAATATGATCACCGTTAAATGTCTCATATGCGGCACGCAAATATGCCCAATGTCCACGTGTTTCATGGGATTAAAAGCAGTTTTAAAAATATTTACGTGGTATTTCTAAAAAATATACCAAAAAAATAAAATTAAAAGAATAGAAAAATTGGTATTTAATGCACACATGTTCACTGTGAGAGTGAGATTAATGCAGACGCATAAAAGAAGGCAGCTGTTAGTTTTTGAGCAAAAAATGTAAAAATGATTGATTAGGAAAGGATGAATCTGTTTTACGTTGATGGTTTCGTCATTGCAGGTAGAAGGCTGGGAAAAAAGCTCAGAAAAACCAAAATAAGATCCTTTTTACATTGATTTAGACTTTAATATCAGCTTTTACCAGCTGACTACCATCAGAAATTCATTGTCTAATCAATGTATCAATCACTTTGTTGCTTGTTCCTGATGCATCTGCAGATAAATGCCATTCAGAAATCAATAAAGGGAAATTTAACACCTTTTGGTCCAGATGCTTAAAAAAACATGAAAAAATTGAACACAGAGATAAAAATAATATTAAAAACTCAACCAGGTAAATGTTTTGTGCACTGATGTCCTGAATGTTGTAAAAACTAATGAAAAAATTGGAATAAAAAAAGCAGGAAAATGCGACTATTTTAAAAATGTATTTTTATTTTTTGTCACTTTTTAAGTTAAACTAACCCAGCAGTGAGTCCTGCTGGTTCCTGTGCAGCAGCTTCTCCGGCTCAGCTGGATTCTGCTGACTTTGATGTAGTTAAATCCCCAGAGCTGGAGGACCCCGGCTTTAAACCCGCAGCTCACAAAGGTCATCACCTCTCTGTTGTGTTACAGGTGTGCCTTAAACACACAGATGAGTCAGGGGGTGTACTTACTTATTCACTGCTTCCTATAAAATTCAAGACAGAATTTTGACTTAAACTGTGTGACATTTAAGTCACTTTGTCATGGATAATTTTTTGTTATCTATGACAAAGTCAGAATATTACGGGAATAAAGTCGAAATGATACGAGAATAAAGTTTAAACAAATAATATGGGAATATAGTAGAAATACTATGAGGAAAAAGTCATAATAAATAAAATAATCATTGTATTTCCCGAATAGTCATAACAGTTTCACAAAAAAGTCGTACGACTTTCTTTGTTTTTTGCCGTACGACTTTTTGCCGATCGACCATCACTGTATGAGAATATAGTTTAATATTGCGAGAGAAAAGTTGTACGACAAAAAGTCATAATATTATGAAAATAAAGTCGGAGCACTACGAGAAAAGTCGTAATATTGTGACACAAGACAAAGTACAAAAATAAAGTTGTACAACAAGAAGTTATAAGAGAATAAAGGATTAATACTAGAAAATATTATTGATATCAGTGATTACAGAAACTAACTATTGAAGCTTTGGTTTCATTAAAACTTGATTCAGTTCATTTTACGTCTTTTGTTGGTTTTGTTGTCTTTATTCTGCTCATATGTCGTTTTTTTAGTTTCTCAGAGTCTGTCCTTAATAGTCTGTGTAATTATCACCTGTTTATTCATTTTGTTTAAAAATAAAACACTCCGTTTTCACACCTTCTGCTGTCTGTTGCACAAAGGCAGGTCAGGCTGCGGTGTTTGGTTTCGCCTGAGCTAATATTTACCTCGTTTAAAACGCGCGTAGCGAGCAGATAGATGCAGCGCTCTGGATCCTGTTCACTCCTGCTGGGAGCTCCCCGCTGCAGGAAGTGATGCAAACCATGATGTAAACAGGCTTTTTACTGTCGTCTGCTGGAGATAAGACGGAAAGAGGCCAAGCATTAGCCGTAATGGGCGGTTGACAGACCTGATGACTTCTTAATGACGGCGTGCAGTTCCTCCTGAAACAGTTGCATAACTGCAGGGAATTCCACTCAGTTACAAGCTGGTGTGTTTAATGGTGAAAACATTTAAAACTATAATACATGCATGACTGTTTCACCTGCCTGTCACATGAGTCAGGTGTTGAAATGTTCACAGCTTCAAAATCGTTTCTGGTTTTATCTGGAACTACATTGTTTCTTCTTGAGTTTTATTTTGTTTTCACTCAGATATGAGCAACTTAAACGCAAAAATGCACCAATTAGATTACATTTTTTTATGCAGCCTTTTCTTTGGAAATGAAAGTTTTGCCAAACCTTTATTTGATTTCTAATGAGCTAAAAACTAGAACAACTGTTTCGCTACAATCAAATGATTTAGGTTTAATATTTTTATCTTCTAGTCTCAAATGTTTCCCCAAGTTCAACACTGTATTTTTAAAGCTGCATTTTATTTTAGCTTGTTTAGCTTCATCTTAACAAAATGTGACAAAATGAAGATGTGTGGAGTCTAGATTTTTGCAACTGTTGTAATATTAATAATAATATTAACTGTTATTAAATTAAATGACATCAGATTTATTTAGTGCTTTTCAACTCTACCAGCCTCCTAAAAGAAATCAGTAATTTCCATTCATGTAATTAGTTATTACTTTATATGTTTATTATTGGTCTCAAATCTTATCTTTTAATAACAATTTAATACATTTGCATTGATGTGTTTATATACCATTAAAAACTTATAAAAACTCTATATGCCCACTATTTCCTCTGCATATAAACCAATGAAACTCATTGTGTTTAAATGTGATAACGTCTTAACGTTTCTTTTATTATTCGTTTTTATTTATTCATGATGTTGAAACATGTTTGAAGAGACATAAAATAACTTTAAAACTAATATTTATATTTAAATATCATCTTTGAGAGAAAAGTGGAACTAAAGTTAAATCCTGTTTGCAAAAACTTTGAAAACTCACATCTGAATTTGAATGGTTGTTGCAGCTAATCACGTTTAATTATCAATATCACAAACTTATTCTGTTAATGACTGACTAAAAATAAGAAGCAATAAACTAACAAAACAAAGTCTGGCATTGACAGATCAATAAGGGAAGTTAATATGCTAATAAATAATGAAAGTGTAGCTTCATGAATATATTTTTAAATCCCTGTTGATTAAACATGGATCATTTCAAAAGCTGATCTACCAAACCAGTGGAGTTGGATTTTGAGAAGAATACTGATTTATTTAAATAAACGTGATTAAAGTTAATTTCCGCTCAATCCAGAGTCGTACTAACGGCTTCTTAAAGGTTGTGATGACAGCAGTGAAATGTGTGAGAGGTCAGTTTCCACAAACATTAAGGCTCCTGTAAAGTTGCTCCTGCTGCTGGACTTGATTTTCCAGTCACACGTATCACTCATGTTGTCGACATGATCTAATGATCCAGCTCCCTCGTCACTTACTAAGGTTACAAATGAATGTACTAAATATTTTTGCTCCGAGCCAAATGATTTGCTTGTTACCTATGTAGTTTTAGGCTACATATGTAGCTCGCTAACTAAATATTTAAGCTCAATCTTTAGTGTGCCAACTAAATAATTGTTTTAGGCCAAAGTTTAATATTTAATTTTTAGCTAACTATGTAGCATGCTAACTAAATATGTAGTTTGAAGCTGAATATGTAGTCTATATTCCTCAATATGTAGCTTGCTAACTAAATGTTTAATTTGAAGCTAACTATATAGGTTTCAAACCAAATATTCAGTTTGAAACTAAATAGTTTGAAGCTAAATATTAACCTTGGTAACTAAAACTTTAGCTATTTATCTAGTTGTTTAACTGAATATTTAACTTGCTAGTTAAATATTTATTTGTAAATTAATGATTATTATGGAGAAAATCTGACTTTTAATAATAAAGCTCTATTTTTTTCTCTTATGAGAGGCTAAATAACTCAAATTTTAGCTGCAGGTACTAAATATTTATCCATTCTGTCTCTAGCATAGGCTTGATGAAGTTAGTTAAATGTTTTTGGTTATATTTTCTGGTATAATCTGTTTCCTCATGTCTCTCTCTTCTTCTTCCGTTGTTGTTAGATGAGAGGATTTGCTCTCCTCCCTTCATGGTCCTCAACACGGAGTGCACCCCGGACGTTCTGGAGCAGATCAAGCTGCAGGGTCTCACATTCCCCTTCAGTGAGTCTCCATCTTTTACCCACGGTTTTTATGAACTCTGCTGGAGATCCGTTTGAGTTCTGACCATCTGAATTTCCTCCACAGTTTGCAAAACTCGTGTGGCTCATGGCACCAACTCCCATGAGGTGAGAAACTTTACTTCTTGTAGCTACTGGAACACCTTGGGATTGACCATTAATTCAGTTCAAACACCAGAATGAAATGAATGAAACCAGCAGCATCGTTGCTCCACTTTAGGGATGCAACTTAGAAATTAATTAATTAATCTAAAAATGACTGATCCTGTCAATTGACTGATTACTTGATAAGCAGCCATTTTTCTAAAAGCCTGACTTTTCTCCCGCATAAAAAGGGCTGACCATCGTTCCACATCATAAAGGGTTAAAAAAAATTATAATATACTGAATAAAAAAATAACATTTTGTGTATTAAATAGTGACAAGACAATCAGAAAAAAATGTTATTTTTCTCACTTTATTAAATTTAAAGATATTTATAAAATGAAACAAAACAAGAATCTCTTTGGTTACTGAATAGAAAAATAAAAACTTAAAAGTTTCAGAGTGCACAAAAATTTTATTCAAGTAAAAGTGAAAAGTATCCATCAAAGAAATTACTTAAGAGTAAAAAGTATTTGGCAAAAAGTCTATTCAAGTACCAAGTAACTGATCAATTAGCAATCATTTAATGTTTAAAAGTTACAAAATCAAATGGACCAAAATGACAATAATTTATTAAACAAAACCAGGCAAAAGATTTTTTTCCAAACCAGTTTCTTTCAATAAAAACCTATAAAACTTTAACAAAAACTGCAGGTCTGTGTCTGGTGAATTTTTGGTACGTTTGTTTTTCATTCAGTGGGTAGAAAATGCAGAAATGCTACTCAAGTAACAGTACAGATAAAAAGTACCACACCACATCTTCGTAGCAAAAAAGTCATTTTTGATGAAAAGTTGACGTTTCTTCGTCACGTAGCGCTTTTAAAGTGAAGCTTAAGGAGCTTATTGCGTGTTTATATTTCAAACAGAACCGTATAAAGTTAATTTTGAATCCCAAACCGGACTTTGTTACTGTTTACCGATCTGGCATG